TAACAACAGAGTCGGGTGGTTCATTCCTGGCATTGACCATTCTGTTGCTGAAGTCATATTTTCTGCAGTCAAGTTTGGAGTGGTTTACCTTGAGTTTGTATCTATTGTTTGTGTGTATATTATTGCAGTTGAAGCTGAAGTAGTCATTGACAGGTAGAATGTTGTAGCAAACAATTTTTTGTAACTTAGGTCAGACCTTAATTGGAGTAGTTCTAGGTTCACCAATCCCAAAATTTCAAGACTGGTGACATAAGGTATTGTGGTTAATCTAATCACATAAGATATAAAAACCACAGAATTGTTGTATTTCTCAGAATAAAAATCTTATCTAATTTCAGATTTTGGAAAGGTCAGTGTTAGCAGCTCTCTCTTCAGAATGTTTGTTCTTCTCTAGCACTACTTCTGATTGGCTCTGGCAAATCTTATAGATTACTGTATTCTAAGAAATAATGGTATGTAGATATTCGAAAATAAGTTAAGGTAAATTCTCTCCTGTGTGATATTCAGCTAAGCTTTTTTCTTACTCTCATGAGGCTGAATAATATGATAATCTTTCTATTGCATCAAAAAGTTTTGTATCCTGGATCCCTAAATGTATCCTGAATCTCTAAAAATCTGGACTTTAAACCTGCAAGAAACTGGTTTAGTTAGTTAATTTGCTTAGTTTTTACTTGGCAACTTGTATAAATTTCAACAAATCATACTTTGGTGCAGGGTACAATTACTATAAGGACGTTGCCATATCTGGGCTTCAAACATGATCATTAATTGGCAGCAAAAGTTAGTGTTCTCAATGTCTTTGGTCTTTATTTGATGCTTGTCTACCTTTTTGCAAATATGTAGATCTAGCAAAGAGTACCCTAAAGAGTAGTTTATACATTCACATCCCCAGCCTAAATGAAAGGTTATGTATCATCAAAGCCACCTGGGAAAGGAAAGAGAAATCATCAAAGCCATTAAAAAGCAAAAGTTACAATATTTTGGACAGGCGATGTGACACCCAGGAAAAGCTTGAAGGCAAACAAGGTCTAGGTAGAAGTAGAACATCATGGCTTCAAAATATAAGAGACTGGTTTGGACAAAACTCAGCAGCACTTTTTCATGCGGATGTTGACAAAAAATAGAATTGCCAACATGATCGACAACATCTGATGATGGATATGATACAAGAAGAATAATCATAAAAGCACTAAAACAAATGCTTTTGTTGCACCAATAATGGTGTTGATGGAGAACCAGGAGCTGTATGTTTTAATTTAATGAATTCAATTAATTCCTTCTCTCATAATTCTCAAGCTGGTGCCCTATGCTTCATGCTTATCAACCCTCAAAAACTTGAATTATAATTGGAGGAATGATGGAATCAACAATAAGGGCAATCTAGGTTGTGCTATTCCTATTTCGATCCTTAGGTTTTTGGCTTAGCAAGATGTCTTGATCGGTTAAGTCTTCTTGTACTGTACTTTCTCACTTTAACAAACAGGCAAATATGGAATTAGTTTATTAGTATCTGCTGAAGTAGAACTGCATAGCTTTTTATGCTTGTGGAATTTTACCTTAGTAGTACAAGCACTGACTAAGCTTTTTCAGTGTTGATCTAGGATCCTAAGATCCATTGCAGATCATTCAAACAAGAAAAAGGTCAGCTCAACAAGCTTTCTTTGCAAGTTTGAAAATACATTAACTAAGTTACATGCGAGTGAGGAAAAATGTCTTTGCCACGGCAGCTATAATAAACAAGTATTTTTTGAAACTTGACTCCAATTCCCAGAATTTTCCAGTCAGAATTCTCCAATCCATTTTAAGAGCTGCCAACTTTGAAAAATTCTAAAATAAACAGCATGAACTATGCCATTTTTAAAAATATTTCTAGGCAATTGCTTTGTATAATTACCATCAGAAAGAGTAGGCTAGTAACAGTACTAATGCTATGGAGTTGTTTACTAGATGGTTCTATTGCTAGTAGCATGGCAGAAAGAAGAAAGATTATGAAGACCTTTGCCTTTTCTGTATTTGATGTCAGCTAAACTCTGGGGCTAGAGTTCATATTGTTATTAGCAAACCTGTTCCAGCAGTAGCACAACACAACAGCTTAGTTCAGCTGATATTAATTCTGAATTGGCATTTGCTTATGTCCTCACAAGTGCATTAACAATTGGACTAAATAAGAAATTGAATACATTTAAAATGTCTTAATTCCCATGCTCTGTCAACTCATGCCCATGAAATATACTACAAACATCAGATTTAATATAGATTGTGTTATATCTAGAACATATTCATTCAAATCAACAGGACTTAAATTTCTTTGAAGCAGTTGTTTGCAGTGGGTCTACTCCACAAATTATTATCTTCAGATTCATGAACATTTCTCTCTCTTTCACACATGCATACTCAACTCACCGGGTTGTTATTATGGAGAATATATGAGGAAGAAGGTATGTTGGATGTTTGCCACCTTAAGTTCTTTGTAAAATTAATAAAGGCAGGATACAAATAAATAAAAAAATACAAAGACTATTATTCTCAGACTTCAGTTAGATATTTTTTATTTCAAATTGCTTGTTTACATTATATGGCAAAAATGGGAATCTTCTCCTAAATCCGGAACCATTACTATGCAACATTACTATGATCTACCAGGAGTAAGTGAAAGACTTTTTGCTGATATTATTGGAAAGAAAATGGCTGATAATGTTGGGCTTTTAAATTATTTTAGTAGTTCATCTCCTGGGGGCATTCTGTTCCCATACCTAATCTCAAGTAGTTCATACAAAAAAGGGAAGAGATCACACCTTAATTTCAGCCATCAGAAGCATGGAGTGCCAACATATGCATAATGACATCACTGACATATGATACAGATATTTTGCATCATTTGCATGATGATTCAAAGCAGGCAACTTCATTTCATGTAATTGAGGCTTCATCTAAAACAGGTGTCAAACTTGCATTATCAAGGCGTCACGTGACATATCGGTACCTTTCTCCCCTTCACTAAACCAGCGTGGGTGTGGCCAGCATGTGACGCATCCAGCCCGCAGGCCACAAGTTTGACAGCCCTGATCTAGAAATCTAAGATTTCAGGGAAATGTTTTAAGGCTGGGATTTAAGGGTAGAACAATTTGTTTCTTGAAGCTTCCCATTCCCATTCAAGGAAACAGGTAGAAAATGCTGCCAAAATTTAGCAATCTTTACCATTTAATTTTCAGTTGTGCAATGTAGGTACCACATGCCAGGAATTGATATTAGTTTTATATTTTATAGACCAAATCTCTGAGTTCAGCAGGATTTGCCCATTTGCATGCATTGAGCGATAGTTCTAATCTTTTTTAATACACAGCAACTGAAACATTTTAAGAAGAAAAATATATTATAGTTAATTTTATTACCCCTATGGCTGACATTGAGAAATACCAAAATACCTTCCAGTTTCAATTAATGTAGATTCTTGTACTGACATAAACAGACCATTAAAAATTTTCTGTGGTGTGTGTTTAAACTTGACACTTTTAAGATGTGATATTTTAAATATTTCTATATTGGGAGGAACATATTTTATTACATCACTATTTCTTTTCAGGAAGCTAATATTCCATACAGCATACTTTTCCAAGTTACATTAAAAAGCAAATTGGAATGTTTGCCTTTCATTTCTTTGTATTCCCATTTCTATTTGAAGCTGCTTCTTCTTTTTTTTACAATAAAATCAATATAATGAAAATCCATTACATGTTAGTATATTAAATGATCTGTGACTAAACAGATGAGCAATGATCTCTAATTCGTGGAGCACCAATGAACCTCCAAAAATCACAAAGCAAGATTTTCTTTGTGAATCTGAATCATTTGGGGAATTGTAGGGTATAAACGTTTGTGTTTAATAAAAATCTGAACCTGCTTAATGTAACCACTTCCCTCAAATATATTCAAAATAACGTGTTTTTTTTCCCTGGAAGACATTTTGGTAATCTGTGTAGGTGTTAACATGGCTCAAAATGGAATGTGAAAATTAAAGTGTGGGCAAGTTTGTAATGTAAAAGAAAATGGCAAAATTAACACAGTTATAATAGGAAATACCATGGGAATAACAGAAGAACTGTAGAGGGAAGAAAACTCGAAAGCAGATGACAATAAACTCAAAGGACACGGTATAAATAGTATTACAACTTTGTGGGTTCTCAACAGATTTAACACAATATATTTATTCAGTTAAACCGGTGATTTGACGCAGGTTTCGGAACCCTCCAGGCACGGCGAATAACAACTTCCATATTTAGACAAGTTGGGTAAGTTTCTAACTCTTAACTGAAATTTACAAATAAATAAGAACTGAGCATTTCACCAGGCAAACTGCCAATATTTAGAAATAGCGACCTATTACTACTGTTCTAATACTAATTATCAATTACCTCCCGCCTCCCTTTCATTTTCCCTTTAATCTCTCATCTCTTTCCCGTCCCATCCCTGCTTTCCTCGCACAGATTACATTGCTAGGCGATTTAAGAGGGAGGAACGAGGGAAATGAATTTGGGATTCTGGGATATGTAGTTTCCTTCCTTCCCCTCTTCCACCCCCCACCCCCTTTCTCTGCGTTTGTTATGTATCTCGCCGTCCCACGCGGAAGAAAGAAAAAAGGCCCGGCATACATATCCCAGAATGCTGCAAAATAACGGGAGGGGTTTGTGTTAGGGTTAGGGTGACAGAGGAGCCGGCCACAAACGGCGTGGCGCTTTGAGTTTTCGGGCGGGTAGCTGGCGGGACGGGGAGAGGCGGGGTTTCGCCCTTTGGCGTCCCGTGATCCGCAGGTGGGCAAGCGAGCGGCGTGCCAGAAGTGAGAAGCGGTGGACAAGGGCGGCAGCGGGAGGCACTTCCTCCGGCGACCGCGTGAGGCGCTGGGGAGTCGCTGTCGCCGGCTTCTGCGTGCGCGCCGGGCCGAGTGACACGGCCTCTGCTGTTGCGGGAAAGGGAAGGAAGGAGAGAGAGCGCAGAAGGCGACTGGTCGATGAAAGAAACCGACCGGAGGCTGCCTCTGCCGTGTGGTGGTAGGCTGTGGGAGACGAGCGCCAGCAGCCACCCTGCCTTCTCCGGTCAAGACTGAGCCCGTGAGGCGGACAGTCACGGATAGAGCCGCCACCGCCGCCGCCTTCCAAGGGGCTGACAATGAAAGTGAAAGGCAGGAGCCGCGGAAGGGGAGGTGGAGGCGGCGGCTGCTGCCCCGGGGGTTGCGCCTGCCGCCGCCCCCACCGTGCTGAGTGATCCCGACCCGGTTCTCTCAAAAGGAGCGTTCCCGAAGAAGAAAGCTGCCGCCTTTGCTTCTTCTGCCTCCTCGGAACATTGGCCGTGTTTTTCCTCGCAGGGAGCCGCGAAGAGGGTGCGTGTGTGAACGCTGGCTCGCCGCCTTTCTCTCGCCTGCAGCTGCTTTTCGAGTGTGGCCGCGTGGATCCTGGACGGCGACGGGAGAGGCTCCTGGGGGTGGTCCCGCGACGGCCGCCTTGATTCAGGTGGCTTCTCCGCACACCTCCTCTCTTCCCTTGGCGTTGTGAGTGGGGGAGAAGGTGGCTGCTTCTGTTCCGGCTGGTTGCAGGGAATAAGCCCAGATTAAAGTAGAAGCAGAAAGCCAACACTCCTTGCCGTTTTCTTCGACGGTTCCTGTTGCTGCTGCTGCTCCTTTCTCCTGGAAGTCGGGGCTAGGATTGCGGTGGTGTAACGCAATTTGGGGTCTCCGGTGGCTTGAAGGAGAAAAGTGGAGAATACCAGCCAGTACCTCTTAAAACTGGAAGTTATTTTCACCTGACAAGGCTGAATCGGTAATAAAGTGGCTGAGGAGGGCTGTATTTTGCTTTGGTTTTTGAACCCCCCCTCCTTTGAAATTGGCATATTTTTATAGTAGTATATTTAAAAAAATGAAGACTGGCTTGAAACTTGCTATGTCTTGCACCTTTTTCCAGGGATGGCACTGACCACATTTTTATTTTGCCTTTTATAATGACAAAAAATAGGAACTAATCTCTTGCCATTGGAAGGAAGAAGAAAAAGACCACAGTGGGAGAAAATTGGATGTTATAGTTTGTTTTTCAGTTGTTGCACTTAGAGTTGATTTTTGTTCAGAACAATTCATACAAATTCTACTTTTAAGAATTTTTTTAGAAATCTTTGTGAGGAGGATTTTGATTAGAGACTGCTTGTCTCAAAACTTGATCCAAGTACTTTAAAAGTGGAACAGTAAAACTGAGCAGTTTCTTAAAACAAAAGGCAGAATGCCTTAAAATCATAAAGTTCTATGTTTAATTGACAACTGTTTTATATCTAAGCCTTTTTCATTCCTATTTTATTCTATGATTATGCACTTTCAACTTTGGTTTTTATTTCATTGTGAAGAAGGGAAAAATTACTGTGCTTATATTTCATAAATGACAGCTTTGAGATCTGTAACAGAGAATTGGGAATTTAAAAATGCCATGATGAACTTGTTTTAATAAAACACCCAACAGTGTATACAGAAGTTTTAGGCAAGAGTTGCTGGAGGGGTTCCTCCTTATTCTCCATTAATGAGTCCTGGTGGTGGTGTTGGAGGACCCATGAAAGACTGTGAATACAGTCAGATCAGCACTCATAGCTCCTCTTCTCCCATGGAGTCTCCCCATATGAAGAAAAGCATTTCCAAGAGAAAATGGGAGGTTTTCCCTGGAAGAAACAAATTTTTTTGCAATGGAAGGATCATGATGGCTCGTCAGACTGGAGTCTTCTACTTGACATTTGTTCTTATTTTGGTTACCAGTGGACTCTTTTTTGCATTTGAGTAAGTGCCATTAAAGTTTTTTTAACCTGTTTCTTACTAATAGAACTATGCAAGAATTCAGGTATCTAATTGATGCTAGGTTGTATAAGTAATTTATACTGCATTCATGATTTATATGTTTAATTCTTGAAAACTCTGAAGTTGAATAATTGTCAATTTGGTATGGTCTAGACAGCTGAGATTTCAACTCTAATTTAAAAGTCATGCTAAAGTTTTTAAATGATACAGAATTTCAAAGTACTAATGTTCATTGAAAAATTTGCTAATTTGTCATTTCATAAAGTTCCATTAAGGCAACTAGCTATTTATGCTTGAGAATACTTCTACAATCAGTGTAGACTCTGTATATTTCTCCTGCTCTAATCAAATTTTCTATAAAGTTGTATATATCAGATTAATAGTTTATCAATAGGCATAATCCATTAAGTTATATAGTAGGATTGGATATCATTTATATGATCTACCTAATATGCAATCATTTTGGGTTTTGTATCAAACTTGCTAACTCACTGAAGACATAAAACTGACTAGGCTAAAGATATTTCATAATATCCCCTTTTCTTGACTGTTATTCTATTTTTGCCCCTCTGTGCTGTTATTAGTACAGGTTCCCTTTTTAAAAGGGGAAATAATATTTTCTCTAAATGCACTTGCACATGTCAATATGTTACATCCTTGATATCTCAAAGTTATATTCCTAATAATAGAGCAGAGAAAAGTTAATACATTGTAAATTTATTTTGCAGACATTTGAGTATGTATTATATATGATGCAATAAAAATATACAATTTTCTAATACAGGTAGTCCTCAATTTACAACCATTTGCTTAGTGACTATGAAGTTACAAAAGCACAAAGGCCATTGAACCACCTCATGGTCAGATGTTTGGCAACTGACTTATATTGATGACAATTGAAGTGTCCCAGGGTCCTGTGATCCTTTTTTGTGCCCTTTTGACAAGCAAAGTCAATGGGAAACCCAAATTTGCTTAACAATCATGGTACTAACTTAACAAAAGCAGTGGTTTACTCAACAACTGTGGCAAAATGGTTGTAAAATGAGCAAAACTCACTTAACAACTGTCTTGCTTAGCAACATAAATTTGGGGTCAATTGTGATCATAAGTCAAGGTCTGCTTGTATATGTAGGCTATCCAGTATATATAATAAATACATTTTCTAACAGCAAGCAAGAATTCTAGAAATTCTAGAAAACAGAAATTTATTACATTTATTGTGAATCTTGATAATTGATTGAAATGTTTGCATAATTTGTTTTACTGATAATTTATTATGAGCTATAGTTTAGAATGTATTTTCTGTTCATGGAAAATGTATCAGTATCAACGTATTGATTTAATTATGATAAAGTACCAAATTTTAATTCCTGATATGCATTATGATTTTTCTCACCTCACTTAAAAACATACATTATTTACACTTGGCATAAAAGAGTAGCAGCTGAAGTTATGACTATAATTCTAACAAGCGTCCTAACTGGTACAACATGGCACTATTATTGGATTGTTCTGGGGGGAAAAAATCCCTTGTTTGCAGATGAGGTTTTCTACAAGAGCAAGTTTTTTATAGAATGAAAACATAAATGAGTGTGCTTTTTACATAATCCTGTAATGTTAGATAAAAATAGAATGTCTTTAATTTTATATTCATTTATAAAATGATGTAATTAAAAAGAAGGCAAAGCTATTGAAATTTAGTTTTTGATAAACCAACCTGCCTTTTTAGTTACTGCATGGATGTAGACAAATTTTCTGTCTGGTGCTTTATAGCAATAGCAATAGCAGTTAGACTTATATACCGCTTCATAGGGCTTCCAACCCTTTCTAAGCGGTTTACAGAGTCAGCATATTGCCCCCAACAACAATCCGGGTCCTCATTTTACCTACCTCAGAAGGATGGAAGGCTGAGTCAACCCTG